GGGCACAGTGGCTGGTGGCATATTAATAATAGCTGACGTTTACCGAGCACTTATTCCAGGCCAGGAACTATTCGGAGCATGTTACAGCACATTCTGTGAAGCAGGTGCTGTTGTTCTCAGCCTCCCTTTACAGGTGAGGCCCTGACAGGTTAAATAACCAGGCAAGCGGCTAAGCTGGGATTCGAACCCAGGCTGTCCGGCTCCAGGGAGCACCTCCTAATTTTGAGGTTACAATGCTTTCCTGACACCTTTATCACCCCCAAGACACCAGCCAACAGCCTGGGAGCCAGCCAGGCAAGGTCTGAAGCCTAACACAGGGAGAATTTTCACCAAAATTTTCTGGGTGAGGCCCCAAATAGGCTACAAATTCTCCCATTTCAGCCCTTTCTCACCATCCTACTCCCCAGTCCCCATCGGAGGAACCTAAGCTTATCCAGGGAAGCTGCAGGGAACTTCCAGGGGTTCCCTTTAGGGGCTCCAGATGGATAAGTCTAGAGGAGCTCCTGGAACCAGAGCTGGAGGGGCACACATAAGCTTTCCATAAGCACTGGATGAAAAAGGTGTCCTAATATTTACAGAGCACTCACTAAAGTTGTAAGAGATTTATTCTTACTAATTCATTAATACAACAACCCTGTGAGGTGCTGTTATCCCCATTTCACAGATTAGGAAACTGAGGCACAGAGAGGTCATGTGACTTTCCGAGGTCACACAGCCAGTGTGAAGAGCCAGGATGCGATCTATTTTCCATAAGCAGGAGAACCAAGGCGGAGGCTGCTCAACTCCAGCCCAGCCTCGCCTGGCCCACCTGACTCAGTCTGTCAACCCCTCTTTTGTGCCTTCCCAGCATAATCTGCTCTCTTTGCACCTGCTAGGCTGGGCTCCCACTTTCTTTATCAACCACATTGCTTGAGATCACCTTTATAGTTCATTCTTACACTGACCTTCATTATTAACCCCATTTTAAAGAAGAAGAAACTGAGCCTCTGGGAGGCTGCATAACTTGCCAGAGCTCTAACAACCAGAAAGCAACAGATTTGGGATTTGCACCCAGACACTCAGATGCTACCCCCACCCCCAACTGCCTCAGCCTGAGCAAGCCCAGCCTGAAGGCCTCCTCCAGGAGTCTGCAGCCCAGCCAGGGATGCGACTTGGGTCCCCCAGCTCAGCTCTCCAGATGTGTGTGTTCATGCTTCACCTGGACTTGGACTCAGAGTTTCCTGCTGTCGAGTGTCCAAGTTAGTCACACTCTGTCTGAGAGCCTACAGATTATCTGAGCGGGAGTGGAAGCAACATTGTGGCATTAATCAGGTCAGCTATCTGATTAATCAGCTCAGGCCCCAGCCTGCTGGAGTGTGGTTGATGCCAGAAAAGATAATTCTCAGAAAAACCAGCGCCTTGTTGCCTAAAACCATCCTTGGAGTTGCTTGACTCAGCAATTTTACGAATATTTCTCAAAAGGAAAGCAGTCTGCCCCAAGGGGAAGCAAGGAAGCTCACGGTGTCAGGAAGCTCAGGGCAGGGGCATCTGCAAGGGGAGGCCCAGGGCTGAGCGAGGCCTGGCACTGCTGGCGCTGAGTGAGGGAGCAGGGACTCATTCTGTCATTTGGAGGATGAGGAGAGATATCCTCCGAGACTGGCCAGCTGTGCTAATTGGAAGAATGAACTGGAAAAACAGTAGTTTTTTAAAGTAGATAATCTGTATGCATTCAGAAATATGCACACATCCTTCCGTTAGTGTGAGTCTGCAGTGAAGACGCATCTGGCATGTCCACTTCTCCATCAGTCAGGGTCTTGGCAGGAAGCAGGGGTACTCAAGCAGGGTGGCTGGGAGAGGTTAATACAGGAATGGTTGTCAAGGGTGTGGGGAGGGTAAAGGAACCAATGCGGAATGTGCAGCACCGCAGGACTAGCTTCTCTGGGGAGCTGTGACTGTCCCCAGGCCTGGAGGAAGAAGAGGGGAGAGCGGTGCAGGACAGTGATTCCAACAGGAGCTGATGGCTGCAGTAAAGGGAGGCAGCCAACCTGGAGCAACCCTGGTAGGGGTATACTTTCCCAACACCAGGCCCTGGCCATTCTCTGATCCCAGTGAGTGGCTTCCGTTGGCCAAGCCAGCAGAAGACAGAGGGCAGGGGAACCCCGTGATACAATCAGTGGAGTAGGATGGAGAAGGGCCAGAGTGGATCTGGGCGGGCCGCTTCCAGCCAGCGGCAACCACCTCTCCCATCCTTTCCACCAGCTGCCATTTCTGAGCATCTGCTGTGCGCCGCCTTGGGCTTGACATCGGGAAAATGCAAATGCCAAGACCAAAAGCCCATGAGAGACTGGAAAAGAAGAGATGGACGTAAACGTCACTTGCACTGGGTATGGAGAAATTCTGACCACGTCTCTGGAGCCCAGCCCAACGTGGGAGAGGATTCCTGTGGGCAAGAAAGATAGTTATTAGCGTAGCACCTCAAATCAGCATTCCATGAGCATGGGCCATAATTTACTATTCTCTAGGTCCCGGAAGGTTCTGGAAAACGATGTATGCGTCATTTTAACCAAGTGAGCTGTTTGTTGTTTATACAGCCAGAGACAGGTTTTGCTTATGAAACAACAAATTCTGCTGCCCCTGTCAAGGACTGGACATCTTGACACCAACAAGCAGCAAAATCTAGCCAAAAGGCAATTTTTGTAGGCATTGTGGTGAACCTCTGCTTCTCTGAATTTAGCATTTTCTTAGGGAGAACATAGCCAGAGATGCCAATCCTGTAACACAGGCCAGTTCTGGATCTGTAAGTAACTGGTATGTGGTGCTATGCTGTTCTGTCTCTAAAAAACGAAACGTGAGTCAAATGAAGTTTGTTTTAATTGACTGTTTAGTTTGTGAAAGGTTCTAGATATATTTAGACATGTGTGACCAAAGATTGTGGGCTAAAGAGAGGCAGGGAGGCAGGACTACCAAGTTCTGCCACAATGCCCCAACTCCAGAAGCCACCACCCGACAGGTTACAGTGTACGTGGCCCCCACCGGGAACTGTGCAATGTGGCAGCCCTAGCGGGATACACTTTGTAATTAGCTTTCTACATGGCATGCACTGTGCCTTTGAGAGTCAGAATCCTGGATCTAGTAACTGATGGTGGGCTTTAAAACACGCCACTCCTTCCCCAGGGGGATAGGATGAGGCAGAACATAATTGCTGCAGGAAACAGCTTCATGGTCGAAACTCCGTTCAAGTCCTGGCTCAGACCCTCAGAACTGAGTGGCCTTAGGCAATTCACTGAGCGTCAGTTTCCCAATCTGTGAAAAGAGAATAAAAATACTTTTGGGGATGAAAAGAGATCTTTCATAAGCACTAAGGACATAGTTAACATTCAAATAAGGGCCATATATAAAAGGGTATCTGCTAACATCTATTGAACCCTAATATGTGCTGGGTGTTGAGCTAACGGCTTTACTTGATTTAACTCATGCAATCCTCTCAAGCCCCATTTGAAGCCATGCTCCCATTTCACACACTAGGAACCCGACACAGACAGGTGAAGGGATTTGTCCAAGGTCATGCTACTAGCAGGTAGCGGAGCTGGGATTCAAAAACGGGCACTCTGGCTTTCCAAGCCAAACTCTTAACAACTACTTTCACTATGGCAATTTTAAAAAAGTATCTGTGCATTTTTATGGCATGAGTAGTTAATCCAGAAAAATCCATTTGTGAAGATTTTGCAAGAAGGAGGAATTTCAAAATGAGGAGCAGCAGAAGAGGCCGAACCAGCCTCTGAGAAGAGCCTGCTGGGAGGTTGCTGGGCAGGTGCCCAACAGGAAAAGCAAAATTCCCCGCCTCCCCCTGCTCCCTCTGCATCACCTGCCAGGGTATCTTCTGCTGTCTTGCCCACAGTCCATTTCCTTCCAGAGACTCACCTAGTGGCCAAGCCACAAAGTGTGGAGCTTTGAGCCACCCAGAGGAGTTAGCAGAAGGCGAGCCATCAATCTGTCTCTTTACCTCCACCACCTGCACCCCAGCTGCCCTCCATCCCTAACCCCCGCTCATCTGTCCTGACAACCAACCACACAAACTTCTGCAGACTCCTGCAGTGACCAGTCCCAAACTCATTTCCCAAACAGAATTAAGGCACCCTGCTCTGAGCCAGGCACTGGGCCGGGAATGAGGAGAGATAGCTGTGGGCCAGTGACCCCAGGGGGCAGTGCAAAGAATGTAGAGAAGGGAGCCAAAGGAGTAGGGAGGGGGGCTCAGCACAAATTATCAGGGCCACCAAGAAGGCTTGAAAAGGGAGGTGACTTTTAGGTCTCTCACCTGGGGCAAGAGTTCAGGAGTTGGGGGCAGGAGGTCTTTTGAGAGGGACACAGGAGTTAAGGTGTGCAGATGTGAAAGAACAGAAGATACTAAGGGTACAGAAAAGGGTAGCTTGGGATAGGATGCAGATGGTGATAGGGGCTCTGGACTCACCTGCCTGGGCTGAATCTCATTGTCTCCACTTACTACCTGTGTGACCATGGGCAAGTTATTTGACCTCTCTGGGCCTCTTTCTGGCATGTGTAAAATGGGGATAATAACAGTACCTACCGCAAAGAGCAGTGAGGACCAAATGTGTCCATGTATTTAAGTGCTTAGAACAGTGCTTGGCACACAGTAAGTACTCAAAATCCCAGACCGGTGACTGTTGTTAACGCTTTTATCCATGAGCTTGTTGGGTAGAGGGCCCCTAAAGCTTCTTTGAATTCTCAACAAAACCAGTAGGAGGTTGGTCTCGTGCTGTTCCTGGCCACCCCTGCTGCAGGCACACCCAGGTCCTGGGAGGCATCAGAGTAGGGATCTAGGAGACAGCAAACCTAAGTGCAGACACCTCCCATTCCCCCTCCATCCCCCTCACCCCCTACTCCCATCCCACTCCCCCTCATCCTCCTCCTCCAACGCTGGGCCCTAGCACTGAGGTCCCTGAGGTGGAGAGAGGCTCTGAAAGCAAAGGCACACCGCAGCTACTGAGTGGCTACTGATGCTGGCGCTGGGGACCAGGAAGTGAACAGTACAGAAAGGTCCCTTCGTGGACCCTTCTAGGGGTTCTGGCTGTGGCTGGAGAAGGACCCTTATCCTTCTGCAGCCAGGCCCAGGCTGAGCCCCCACTGGCAGATCTGGAGACTGTCCCGGGGACAGGATGGTAGTGGGGCGGGGAGTGCTGTACCTCCAGGACGGTCTGCGAGACGGCGGCTCTTCCTGGCCGGCGCCTAGCCTATGGCCTGTGGTCACAGTGAAAGGCAGGATGCTGACAGGCAGGACTGGGTGTGCCCGACGGGGGCGGGAGGAGGGATGGGGGGAATGGGGCACAACGCAGCCCCGCGTACCGAGGAGGAGGAGGGCCTAGCCCGTAAACCGGCCCGCCAGCGTCCCCAGGCCACCCCCGCCAGCAGCCCAAGGACGCAGTGTCCACCCTGCTCGCCGCGCGCCGGCCGTAGGAGGAGGGGACGCGGGAGACGCGCGAGGTGACTGCGGCCGGTGCCCAGGTCTCTCGCCGCGCAGGTACGTGCCCTCCATCCCCGGAGCCAGTCTTCTTCCTCTCGCCACCGTGGTGGGGTCCCCGGCCCCCGGGCCCCGGGAAACCGCGTGCGGGCGGCAGGCAGCTCCGGTCCCGGGCAGCCAGCTCTGCGCCTCCCCCTGCGCAGCCCCGCGAGCGCGCGCCGAGGGTGCGGGCCC